CATTACAGTATGGTAGGGGCGTAACATTTCCGTCACATGCTTGAGGTATTCGGCCAATCACAACGCATTGGATATCTGGCCAATCAGAGCACACCTCGCTTTTCAGACCGATTAGTTTTGTAAAAATCGACGCGTTTCAGAAAGGCGGGGCATAGAGGAGAAACAATAATGTACAGTATGTGGAAAATAATGTGTTTTTTTTACCTTAAACCGCATAAACACATTTCATTACACCAAATACACAAAATAATGTTCTTTTTAGCAGCATCATATGACCCCTTTAAGATAGACTTTTGAATGCTATCAAGTCGATCATATGACTTAAATCCTTTAAGTCTTCTGAATTGTTCTGGTTGTCCTTTTTGTTCATATGCATTGATTGTTAGAAGAGAGCATAATGTGAAAACTCTGCTAAACATCTTTTTTTTTTTCCACAAAAGAAACTCAGTCAGGTGAGCAAATGCTTACAGGATTTTCATTTTTTAGGGTGAACTGTGCCTTAAACAAATTTAGAGAACATTCAGCAACACTTTATAATAAGGTCCCATTAGTTAGCATGAGCTAATGCATTAACTAACAATGAGCAAATCTTTAACATTAGCTGTTTAAAATTCTCCTTTATTTCATGTTAGCGCAGGTCAGTTAAATAGTATTAATGTATACAACTTTTGATTTTAATAAGGAATTAATAAATGTTGAAATTAACATTAACTAATATAAATAAATGCTTCAAAAGTAATTTTCATTGTTAGTCAATGTAGCAAATGGAACCTTATTTTAAATGTTACTGAGCTTTTATGATCTAAAACATTCAACGTATCAGACAATGCAAAGAACAGAATGTCTAAAGGTATGTTTACACAGCCACAAAATGGAAAAGTTTTTACTTATAATTTTTTTAACGTTTCGCATACAGACGACAACGTTGTTAAAATGATCAACTTTCTCAAAGATCAACAAAAATGATTATAAATGCTGCATTATGCATGCCAGGCCAGTAGTTCTCTTGTCACTTTGTAAATAAACACTATGCGACTATGCACGCATTCTTCTACAGAGCGGTGAATACAAATGCTGTTTTGGTTGTCAAGTACCGAACACGAAATACGCATGCGCATGACGTCACCATTTTCACAAATTAGCATTTTTGTAGTTTACGCAATAATACAATTGTTTTCAAAAACTTGCACTTTGAAACCCATTTTCAAAAGTTTACAGACACACAAAACGCTGTTGTCGTGTAAATGAACTACAAAAACGCATAAAAAGTTTTCTGTATTTAGTTGAAAACGGTGAATGTCCCCAAGACTAAAAATATTAACACTTTAGCAATATAAACTAGGACTGGCAACATTAATGCGCTAACGAATGTGATTAATTAAAAATGCATAATGCGTTAAAATAATCTATAATAATGAAAACACCCGTAACCCTGGTAGGCAGAAATGTCTATTTTAAAAGAAAATCAGATGGCACTCTAAATAAACGTAAAGTTGTGTGCATACATCACGTTTTGAAGTACCATTTAAAGCTTATCGAGTTTGAAGTATAGTTTGAGCAAGCCGACGATGAATAAATGGTGTGTTTAATTTCACGTTAAGTGTGCGATTAATCGCACAGAATTGGGTGCGATTAATCACAGTTAATTTTTAAAATCTTTTTATCTATTGAAAGCCCGAAAATAAACATTCAACAGCTTCATTAAACACATGTAAAATATGTGAAATGTGCTTTCAGAGTGACTGTACCTGGCTGCCCTGTACGTGTCCATTAAAGTCATTGTTCTGAGGCGTCAGGAAGGTATCGTGGGTCGTCGTTTTCTCCGTCCGCGGCACACTGGGATCTCCATCCTCCACGCCGTTTGCCTTGCGCACACACAGCACCTTCCGGAAACTCTGCTTGAAGTTGTCGGACAAGAACCCGTAGAGCAGCGGATTGGCACAGCTGTTGGCATACGATAGGATGACGGCGAAAAAATACACCCCTGCCATCACGCTGTTCTCTGGGAGTATGAACACCAGGTTTACAATGTTGATGATGTAGAACGGCAGCCAGCAGAGGACGAACACCACCACGATCACCACCACCATGCGGGTCACCTTTCGCTCGGAGCGTCTGCGCTTCGTAAATCCCGCCCGTGCACTGGACGACTTCACCTTGACTACGATGAGCAGGTAACACATGCAGATGACCAGCAGGGGGCCGAAGAATCCAAGCGTTGCGGTGTAAAGAATGAATGCCATCGACCAAATGTCTCGTGGTTCCGGCCAACTCATGTTGCATGAGTTAAACATGTCCTGAACGTCAGAGAATATCACCACGGGGAGAACAACGATGAAGGAAAACACCCACACCGCTGCGCTAACTGCTTTAGCTACTCGTGGTCGGCGCCAACTAGTGGAGCGGATAGGATGCACTACTGCTAAATAGCGATCAATACTCATCACTGTCAAACAGAAGATGCTTGTGAATTGATTTAACGAGTCTGCCGTCATGACGACGCGACACAGGAATGAGCCAAACGGCCAGTAGGACAGTACGTTTTGCGTCGTAAGGAAAGGGAGGCCCAAAATATACAGCTCATCGGCCACAGCCAAGTTTAAAATGTAAATGTTTGTAACTGTTTTCATTTTAGAATAGCGCAAAACTACGTAGATAGCCAAAGTGTTGCCAGTGAGTCCAACGATGAACACGGTGAATGATATGACCGCAGTAACCATCGTGCTGCTCCCTTGAAACGGCATGCTTTGATCGGACACATTGCCAGTGTAATTCCCAACTGGACTTCCTGAAAATCCCAGTCCAAAGGAGGAGGAGTTATAATTCCCTGGGATTGTTCCCACCCACCCGGATTGGTTTAATGACTCCATTCTGGATCTGGAATGGACAGAAAGATAAAAAAGTGTCAGAAATTAGTGTCGAGGTAAGGATGAGTGAGCGAGAGAGAGTATAAAGCAGCAATGAATCCATAAAAGCTCAGTGGAAAGGTACATAGTTTCTCTTTATGCGTGTATGTGTTTGTCAGAGGGAGAGAATATGGCTTGTGTTCATTTAATGTGCTTGAGATGGCTTGTTTTACAGTGAGAGATCAGAGAGACTGATGATCACACCTCAGCTATAAAGATCAGAGCCAAAACAGCAAACCCACACAAGGAGACTGAAGTGACACAACGCACACATGCATATCTCTCTGTCGCTTTCTGTCTCCTGTTTCATGTATCTCCTCAGTGTTGCATAGTGGCACAGTACGTTCATGCATTAAAAACTATATTAAAAAGCCTGGTTTAAAAAACACTATATTTGACATCTACTGAACCAAATACGTTTTTTTTTTCAAGCTTTTGAACTAAAGAGGCAAAACACAGTTAACTATGGCAACAAATGCAATGAAAAAAATGCCTTACATTTTTTTTATTGGATTTTGATTGATTCTGATATCTATATTAAGTCCAGCGATCAATTTTCACAGTCCGCTTTCTCTAAATTTGAGCACAGTTCACCCAAAACCGACTGTCAGCACAGATCATAATCTAAGAGAGCTCATTTGATTTCAGTTAACCTAAAACTAAATTTTATGTGTGCCTGTTTTCCCTTTCATTGTATAGACTACTGTCACATCTCAGTAGCTGTAGGGTTTTGAATCAGTTAAATTCTAGTAAAACAACAGTGAACATCTAGTTCAAAACTATTACATAGTTTCTGTAAATTCTCACCTCCAAACCATATAATAGTTTTCAACACAATAAAATTACAATGATATGCAACTAAATAATGAAAGTATATGCTAACCATAAGTTTGAACTGTGTTCGAGGCAAAGTTGGGGCAACTTGTCACATATGTATACAGTTTTTATTTTTATTTACAATATTTTTTGGCCATAACAATGGTTTGAGATTTCTCTACGCACTTCACTGCTGGTCCATGCAACTCACAGCATTTACCCGCAGAATAAACGCACTGGCGCTGAAGATGCGTTGAGGGTCTCAACTGATTTACTAAAAAGCATTTTCTTTCAAACTACCTGCTCTCACCTCGATGAAATCAGCTTGAAGTCGTCAAAGACAGCGATAAGAACGATGTGAGCCGGTCTTTCTTGCTTGGTTGCATTCTTTAGAGACATTATTTATTATGTTTGTTTAGAAATGAACACTTTGTTAAACTGCGTAAAAACTAAAATGCATATTATGCTATTCATCTGGGGTGACATTAAAACTTAGTACGCTTAAGCAAAGCACCAGGGCATTAAAAGTGCATTATTGGGCTTTTATAACAAATTTAAAAAAACGTATAGCCTATAAGATTTTCTTATTTTGCGCAACGTCCCATACGATCAGAGTGTATCAACGAAAACAGTCCTGAAGCAAGTTAAAAATATCCTTACAAATATTAGGCTACTACAAGATTCCTAAACTTAGATGGAATGTTGACAAAAATAATATAAATCAAAACCTCTATCCGAAACAGTAAACTGTGCTTACCTGAGTATGTATCAGTGAGACGCAGGAAGGTGTGAAACACCCCTCGAAGGAGATGAGAAGAGTAGATAAATGTAAAAAACACCGGAAAACATAGTGCAGGTTAAATCTGTCAGCAGCGGGATCTGAATTATAGCTTGAGGACAGCCTTTGCGTGCACGCTCTCACACCAGTGTGCAGCCTCGCTACAGGTGATGGCATCTACTGCCCGATTCACTCCGAGATCGAGCTAAACCTCCCCGTTAAACCTAGAGAGATAACCCGAACATTTTCCAGACTGAAAAATATCTGATTCTGCCAATTATATGGAGTTTGAAGGAAGGCGAGTTCTAATTATAGTTTTTGCATTTTCAAATTCCACATGCAACAGAGCCAATAAAGTTTATGCGCGGTTTCAACTCCTCCCCTTTTACCTTATATGGCTCAGCGCAGAATGTAAACAAAGTTCGCGGGTGAAACTTGTTTGAACTGGCAGAGCATAACGGAAGATTTTATGTGAAATTTTTGTCTGTTTCTAATATAAGCTTATTAGAAGACTTGTAATGGTGAGTATGAAGTGTATGGACTATTTTTATGGTAGGCTACTGTTGAAATCCTTTTTGACAGCAGTACATTAGCCGTGCTGTAGCGTTTTTAAATATAAAAACGGTTGTTGCCAGGTCATAGTAAAATTGAGTTTATGGTATTTATCCCAAATTTAGCTTTATCCACTTTATTCTTCAACGCAGAATTAAGCCTATATGGGGGAGACTTCCGGTTGATTAGCGGCTATAGGGAAATAACGAGAAGAATTACAACATGCAGTAAATGGTAAAACTGTTTGCACTACAAACCAGTGTGTTAATAATTAAGATGATACATTAAAATAATATGATAAGACACACCAACAAGCTGTTTTGTAGCTAAAAAATAGCCCATAAGGCCCATAAAATGTACAAATGGCCACACCCATTTTTATGGGGGGAAAAAAGCACAAGGTTTATGATGCAACATTTCATAATAAACCAACAGAATGAACACTATTATTCTGTGAAATTCCTTTAGGGATAGGATAATTTAAGAAGAAACAACAAAGACATTTATAATTTGTTGAGACCACCAACTTGGGACTGTAAACACAAAATTCCACTTTCATTCAAATATGGATAATTTGGTCTTATTTTTGCGACCATTTGGTTTTTAGTATTGTGGCATTATGTTTATGGCAATTAATCGCATTTTCTTTCCAAATGTTCATTACTGTAATGTGTTCAGACTTTTACTTTAGCAACTTTAGCGGCAAACTTTTCCATGATTCACATTATGAAGAATAATGTCAAAATGCAGGAAATCTTAAAAATAGCTAAATGGAAGTTCTTATTTCTCATTTTTGACCTTTTCTTGACAGGTTTTGTGAAATTCACCCCTTTAACCATCTTTCAAGAGTGCCAGCAACATAGCACCTCCGATATGGACCATAGCAGCTTTATCCATTAAAATGAGTGGCGCGACCCACACGGAGACCTGATAAAGTTTTGATTCCTGACATGACCTGGAGGTAGATGTGCCTTTAACAAGCTTAAAGTAACTTTTAAGAAGAAGGTGCGAGACAAAGATGAGGCGTACGGCTCACAGGTGTCTCCCTTCACACATGACATCTGTACTGAGGCGGTTTGACGGTGGCACCTCATTACATAATTCACAGAGTTCCTGTACTCATATCTCACCTACAGCTGGTTTATTTTGCCATAATTATGCAGCAGACAGATAAAACAAGAGCTTTGAGGTGCGTGCAGAATTGAGGTACACAGAATACACCGTTCTAGGTGTTAATCGCACAGAAACAGATGGCGTCTTTCATCAGGCATCACTGGGGAAAATATATATATTTTTATGTACCTAGTACAAAATAGTCATACTACCTGACAGATATCACTGAAATAAGACATTTTGTAAGAAATATCTCTCCAGCCCAATCCAAAACTCTTTATGCCTGTCAATCATTTTGTACGACTGAGATTGTTTTTGGAGGTCAACGTTTCGCAAAGAATATGCATACTTCCTTTCAGCATAGTATGCAAAAAGAAAGTCAGATGAGTAGTATGTGGTCTGTAAGATTTTTAAGTTTTAATGAAACAAAAATGCTGACATTTGGGGAGTGTGCAACCACGGCGGAATAAAATATTTGATCTTTTGTTGTTAGTACATCAAAGGACAACTGACAATATATTGACAACTGACAATATATCTATACTACAAACATACATAACTGAAGAAATGTGCAGCAGAGATGTAAGTTCATCCTTACAGTATGTACATACATGATTATGGCCATAGTGTGTGCGTAAAACTTGCCTACAGTATCTTTAACAGGTGCTTAAATGCATGAGCACACATTTATATTCAAATTAAATATCAATATAAATGTATAATATCTTATTTTAATGTATCTCATAAACATTAACATGCTTTCAGGTGGTACTCCTGGTGTATAATTGGTGTATAATGGTGTATAAATAATTTTTTTTTTTTTTAATTTCTCTCTCAACAAATACTCAGTGTTAAAGGGGTCATATGATGCTGCTAAAAAGAACATTATTTTGTGTATTTGGTGTAATGAAATGTCTTTATGCGGTTTAAGGTTCCACAAACACATTATTTTCCACATACTGTACATTATTGTTTCTCCTCTATGCTCCGCCTTTCTGAAACGCATCGATTTTTACAAAGCTCATCGGTCGGAAAAGCGAGGTGTGCTCTGATTGGCCAGCTATCCAGTGCATTGTGATTGGCCGAATACCTCAAGCATGTGACGGAAATGTTACGCCCCTCACCATATTGTGATGATGCCCTGTCAGGCCGGAGCGACGAGACAAAAACATTAAATCCAATTATAAACAAGGCATTTGTTGCATCCAGTGGGGACATAATTACGGATTATACTGACTTATACTGCCTTTTTACACGTTGCATCACGGCGCGTAAACATAAAACCATGTCTGCATTTGTGATCGGAGAAATTACAAACAAGCGCTACTCTACACTGCTCAAAACTCGCGTTAGCAATCGTCAGTGGCAAATCCTTTAAATATAAAAAACGTACTTACAGGCATCATATGACCCCTTTAAGACAGTAGGGGTGTTTGCTGCTGAGAAAATCCCGAAGATCCAGAAAACACACACACACACAAACCAGAGATCAACTGAAGTCGAGTTCATTCATGCGTGAGGCAGCTTTGAACTTGACAAGTACACAGCAGTATAATTACAGATATTGATTAACTAGAATCCACATGTGTTCCTGCAAATCTTCAGCTTCTCTCTGATTCATCAGTGTTTCCTAGACGGCTCTGACAGGCCGCATTCTGTTTCAGTGATCACCATATCATGGGGTATTTTTAGACTACAAATCTTTAAACCGATGTCACGCTGAATAATATAAAATGCATAATAATGCAATATGGAAATGTAGATGAATTCATCCTCTCAGTATTCAGATTAGTGGTTGAATAAAATGATTTTTTTTTCAGTGACCCATTTTTTACATTTACTATATTTTATATTATATATATATATATATATGAAATGTTTTTGTTTATATATAAAATGTTTTTGTTATTGTTGGGTTTAAGTTATTTATTTAAATTATATATTATTTATTTATTCATTTATTCAATTTTTGGCAAATATTTACTGTCTTTAGCAACATTTTCTTCTGGGTTTGTGCACAGTGTTTAGATTTTTGTCATGTTGAACAAAGTCGCTTAAACAAATATCGATAAGCATTCAAAAACGACTAGTAGAAACATCACGAATACCCTTCAACCCCCTTTTGACTGCTGATAGCCTCCCCTACTGGCCAAAACCCATACTGAATCTATTATTATTTGTGTCAGATTCTCTTCTTCTTGTTTCCATGGCAGTTATATTCAGTATAATACATTCTTAAGCATCCTACAGCATAAATGTGTAATTGATTAAGTTATTTTCTGAAATACTGGATAAAGAGAGAAGGTTGAGGCAGAAGACGGCAGGTAAAGGGTTAATGAGGACGGAGCTCTGTGGGGATCGCATGTGTTTCTGCTGCTGTAAATCATGTTTAACAGTGACCTTTATGAAGAACATAATACTATCTACAGACATATATTGAGTTTGGGAGTGTATTGAGAGTATGTTGAAACAGGTGGTGGTATCTTCCACAAAATTAGTGTTGAGCTCTCTCTGCTTCTCCACCAGTCTAATTCACTTAAATTGTAGTTAGCATGGAAAATTTCCCCAGCTGCAGACATCACTGTCACAATTGAGTTCAATGCAAAAACATTGTCAAAAGACCGAGTACAATATTCAAGCTTTGGGAGTCATAACTATAAGATGTCTGTGTGTCATTGGATTTTGTCACTATGGTGATTTATTTACATGATGCAGTTATAGAGGGTTAATATAGTTTACCTGCATTTGGACAGAGAGGAAGGAGATTCAATACAGTTTATTATGACTCCCAGGCTGCCATTTGTTCTTCTACTGGCAATAAAAGACCAGCAGATCTTGCACAACAGATAGCATATAATCAAACAGCATTTGCACCGTCTTCCTACCAATATTGTATGATTTCACCTCAGTCTAAGCAGTGAAATTACATGCTTTTATATCGCCGCTTTGAGGTTTGATCTCAAGACATTTATCCTTAGAAAGCCGCTGCTGTATTGTTCTCGAGTGCAAATATATGCAATTAGAGGACACGGTGGTATGATCAGAAAAGAACATAAATGAAAAAATAAATTGATATGGACAGCTTGGGCTGCTCCAGGCATGATATTTACAAATGAAATATTATGGAGTCAGAAAAATCCAATCTAATCTGTGCTGAAATATATTCAATATAACTTTGATGCAGCTGCAGACTGAATTCTCCTGAATCATTCATTTGTAGATGCCACTTAAATTCTTGGTTCGCTTTGATGTTTTGTTTTTAAGTGTGACTTGAGCGTCCAAATTATGCGCAACTTAACTTTTAGCATAGAAATAGGCAAATTAATCTGACCAGCAATAATATGAATTATATATTTAAATACTTTTAATGAAATAAAATAAATTATTAAATACATTTATTTAAGGCCTCTAACTTGCTCTATTCTTTTTCTATTCTGTCTGTTTTCTTTTTATTTATTATATAATTTAAAAAAAAACTTGCTATGTGTACTGCGTTAAGCTAACTGAGACTTGTTATAGCACTTGTGTATCATTGCTCTTTTATTAGTTTTGATCGCTTCCATTGTCCTCATTTGTAAGTTGTTGCAAGGCAACATTTCTCATTTTCAGTAGTAACAGAAAATACTTCTAATTCAAAATATTAACAAAAGCTATAATAGTACATCAATCATACCAAAATAACATTGTAGTAGGTATTGGAAACTTTGATTACATTTTTAAGTTATGTAAAAGCTGTTTCATGACACTCAAATATCTCTAATGCAACTTACACCAGATAAAAAAACTGATTTAATCAGTATATTATGTTACAGTTTCTGATAATTCCAGTCTAATAGCGAGTAACTGCCTTATTCACTCGCCAGTGCAATTTTAATCACATTTGGAGCAGTAATTTAGGTGCCTGATTGCAGAAATAAAGAAGCGTGACTTTCCATTTCGAAGTGTTCTGTCAGATCGAATATGAGCTTTCTGCTCCAAACTCGAAGTTTTGTAATTTCAAATGAATGCCAGTGCTTTCAATACAGACTAATGCTTTCAAAGAGAGCAGCAAGCAGTGCCAATTTGATGTGAAATTTCTCCTGGTGAAAATATGAGACCACTGCAGCTCTCACATACATCGCAGGTCATTTTCCCTCCGGCTTGTCTGATCATAACCCACTCCTCGGCAACTTTTATGCCACTTTACTGAGTTCAGTGACGGTTTTGTGCCGATGATCCCAAATCAGTGAATTGTAAAGATGAAAACTGATGCAGACAATCTTCTCAGACAAATGGTTGGCAGAAATGAATAGGCTGATGTTTATGGTTTAAAGGGGGTCTGATCCCTGTTGAAAAAACAGCATATGCTGGTTAGGCATGTTTTGAAGCATGGCAGCTGTTTTAAGCTGGTCATGTGCTGGTCCTAAAGCGGTCCTAAGCAACTAGCTCCTGCTCAGGACCAGCTTAAACCAGCTCAAACCAGGTGCCATGCTTCAAAACATGCCTAACCAGCATATGCTGTTTTTTCAACAGGGATGCTCTCCCTCACAACAGACACATAATGACAGATTCCACGGCCTCACCATTGGTGGAAATGTAGCATGCATGTGCTTGGACTCGTTCATGATTGCCCCGTATGACTATAGCATGTAAATGCCATGGTATATAAATCATACGGCAATCAGAGACTGCAATTTCTTCAATCATAGTCAAGTTAGAGCTAACAGTGATTCAGCATGTGCTCAGTAGAGTCTGCCTGAGATGTGTGAAAATGTTATACACTCATCATTCTCTCTTTTTTTTCTTTAGCTGTATGTTTTGATGGCTTTGAATTTACACTCTTTATTTTTATATTTAGGTTGCTGGTTAAAAATTGATGAATGATATTGATAGATGCATCTGATCATGAAGTGGGGTGCTATTTGTATGAAATACAACTCTTATGACTGAACTGAAAGATCGAATCTTAAAATGCGTAATGAACATTATTTCATCAAAATATTTCATCAGGTTGTTAAAATACCACTCTCAGATTAAAAGGTACAAATGTTTTGAACGTACCCTTAGTTACCACTAAAGTGTACATTTAGTACCGAGATGGTACATATTAGTACTTTTTTAAACCCCAGCTTTTGTACCTTTTCGTTTAATCGTTTAACTCATTTCACATAATTAATGTGTGCACATCCTACGGTTTTTTCCTTATTCATCTAAAAGATGTAGTACGATATGAAGGAGAAATCATACAAGCATTTTTACAGTCTTTTACCGTTAAATTCACAGTCATTTTTGTAGGCTATTTTAGAAAGGAAAAAAAAAAAGTTAGAATCAATAAATCATGAATACATTATTGCTATTGTGCAAATAATATGTAATCATGTAATCAATAACTGTAGTCTGATTACAAGTATTTTAAAATGTAATTTAATCTAATTACAAATACTTAATTTTTGGAATCTGATTACGTAGCTAATCCAGACTACATGTAAGTTACTACCCAACTCTGACGGTGTCAATCATTATTGCAGTTTCGAGAGTGAGTTCTGTGCCGTACACACACGAAACGATAATTCACTTCTGCAGCTTATTTAAATAAGGTTGTCACTCCTAAAACTTTACAGTGTGTAAGCAGCCATGTGTGTTTTTCAATGACTTGTATATTTAGTTGCATCCTTGGGTTTTGTTCCAGTCCAGCACTAATTCAGATGATGTGAAGATCTGAGACATCTTCTACGGCTCCCCCTAGAGTTTGAACACACAACATACCCCATCAAGACCTGAATAATTCATCCACGTTCTGCCAGAGATCAAATCTGCTCTGGTTAGTGCAAAACAATGTGCATGAATGATGAATTAGCCATATTTGGAAAATTTCCCTAAGGAAAAGATAAGAAATAAAGGCTATAGTTTATTCATGTCTGCAGAGTTATTTCAGGATCATTACCTTCTGAACCTTCTTTAAAAAAATGAATATGCTTGTGTTGTAATTTTAAAGTGTATTCCTATAAAAGGGAATATCAGACTCTCAGAAATGCTCTGGTCAAACTCAGATTCTTAAGCTGTAGCTATTAATTATGACTTGATTATTTATACAGCAGCAAGAAAATGAACAGAATAGAAATATGGAGATAATGCATTGTTCTAAGAGGACATCATATTCGTTCTGACAATCATTTGAAATGTTGATATTATCATACTGATTCCTGTAATTTAATCAGACAGAAGGTTTTAGGGTTTTCAAATTTTTGATGCTAGATGTTGTATATCTTTATGTGTTTAAATCCATTTATACTGTGTGAGGAAAATATTAAATGTGTCAAAAAGTCTTAAAATATTAACTTAAGAGAACTAAATCAAACATTTCCAAAATTGAATAATTGGCTTTTACATTGTCATACATACTAAAACAAACTGTTATTTGGAAAATATTTACTTTTAATTAAGTTGACAGATAAAAAAGAAAAATCACCAATTTATAATAAAAAAATTTTTTTTTTTAAATTAAATAACTGGAATGAATATCTTGATTTCTAACCAGTCTTTAGTAGCGGAACAAAATGGTAAATTTATTGAATGTGCAGTAAAAAAATAAAAAAATAATGTTAAACATATTTGGTGTACACTAGCTTTGGCAGCTCTAAAATTAGCTACATTTTGTAAAAAATAAAATGATTATAAAATGATGTTTTAGGTGTATAATTCACCAAAAATTATGCCCCTTCCTGGATGATGATGTCATTAAGAAACTGTCATTATTGCAAAGAATAAAATATTACATAAGATTAATGGACAATGCTATTGAAGACATCACCAATTCAAAATAATGTTGCTTAAAAACGGAAACAACTGCAATATTTAAAAAAAATAAATTACCAGGTTTTCATGTCACAATTGTAAAGTTCTGCACCTGGTGAACAATATTTGAATGATGTTTCTTTATCAGCCACTTGCCTTTACATCATCCAATGCATTTATGTGTGCGCGTGGTCTCTATGCATATGGACAATAAAATGGGCCGCATAGTAGAAAAGTTGTGCCATAACTAAATCAAGTCAAAGATAAAGTCTAAAACATCTAGCTGTGGTAATGGGTTGGGTATAGCCTGCCTGATAATCAGTAGCTGGTGTTGTGCATCCAGTGGAGAGCAGCGGCACTGCAGGATGGGAGCACGAGAGGAAGTTCTTCAGGAACTTCTGGCAGAGCAGAATCCAGAGTTTTTTCCCCTCCTCTGGAGAAGAAGTGAATCCAGTTCCGTTAACGGAGGAATAGAGGGGGGACGTCAGCGAACTTGGGGGGGGAAACGCGATTTGTACGCCGTTTCTCTTATGGAAAAACTGGGAAAAGAGTGAACTTTCCTCAACGCGCCCCGAGGAAAACTTCACCGACAGAAGGGGCGATGAGATGCGAATGAGCTATGCCTTGTAGAAATGGACAGATTGCGTTTAAGCGAAAACATGGCGTCTGCCTCCCAAAGTTTGGATTATTTTCCAGTCTGCTCTTTGCGCTCTGCTGCCTGGAGGCGCGCTCGGGCGTCGCGGCAGACGGGAGAGCCTGCAGCCCGTGTCCGGGTAACTGCTCTTGCTCCGCGGTGGGACCGCAAAACTCGTGCGTGGTTAATTGTTCCAGCATCGGGCTGGATCAGGCCCCAGCGGCGTCAGACCTACCGACCGACACGCACACTCTGTAAGTGACCCACCGACCGCCGCCGCTCGGGTTTGTGGGCGATGATGCGGGTGTTTGTTGTGATCTGGTTGAGGTGACGGGTGAAGAATGTTGGCTGGTGTAATACTTCAGACTGCCACTGTTTATGTGTCAATCAGTCATAACTGAGGATGTCTGGGATGGGGGAAAAAAATAGAAGGGTAGAGTGGGGGAAAACGCCCCCCTTATAAGGACTGTGTATGTAATTTTTTTCTGTGAAACAAAAGTTAAAATTGTTCAGAAAAGTTATAATAGTTTTAGTGACACTGACATAATATGAACCAAGTATGAAAAATGTCCAGAGTTTTCATGTTATTAGATTTTTAATAAAACATTTATTTGTACCAAGGGGGCGTTTTGCCCCACAGGTGGAGTAAAATGCCCCCCAGACAAAGCAATTTGCTTTATGCATTTACAGCAAAATCAGAGTGCAGGCAGTTTTAGCTTAAAATGAAAAAGAATATAATTAATAATTATGAAATTATGAAAAAGTATAATTTGAAAAAACAAATTGTTAGCTGATGCTAACTTGCTACCAAACTAGTTAGGCCTACCTGATGCTAGCTTGAGGTGACTTTTAAATATAAAGTCCAAATATTTTTATTCAACCAACTAGATAGAATACATTTGATGGGAAAACAAGGAATTTGACATTCAGAACAGAATAACTACAGTAATTAAAGGGTTAGTTCACCCAAAAATGAAAATTAGCCCACAAATTACTCAACCTCAAGTCATCCTAGGTGTACATGACTTTCTTCTTTCAGATGAATCCAGTCGGAGTTATATTAAAAACTGTTTTTGATCTTTCAAGCAGTTTAATGCCACTCAGAGGGTGTTGCATGCATCAGTCCAAAAGAAGTGAAATAAAAAGCGCCCATCCATAAAAAAAGTGTCTCACACGGCTCCGGGGGGTGAACAAAGGCCTCCTGTAGCGAATCGATGCGTTTTTGTAAGAAAAATATCCATATTCAAAACGTAATAATCACTTTAATGTAGCTTGCGCCAACAGTCCTACACGGATTCATGATGGAGGTTATGTGACACACTGACTTTGTTTTGGTGACCAAAAGTCAATACCAAATCAATCAATTCATCTCAGTCTGTAAAAACTGTCAAAAAGTGGAAAAAGTGGAGAAAACATCTCACATCTCAACCCAGGAAAAGGTCCAAATAGCTGCATAAGTTTATGCCTGCACTTGATTTAACCCATGCACACAGCTTGTGTACCAGCAGATGCATGAAGAGTTTGTGCAGGTAGACTTGTGATGCGTCCTGCGACGGCGTCCTTGCATTGAGAATACTGTGTTCTTTACTCTCGTTTCTGTGGCGCTCGAGCTCCAGCATGTGTTATCCATTCACATAGGCTGCAGATGTATGTGCAGAAAGATCTGATACTTTGAACTCTTTTTTTAGGGCATAAACTTCAAGACCGAAATCTTTCATCAGGCAACTGTTGTAAAATTGTCAATAACACTATAGGTCACATTTACAAGCTCTTCATTAGGGGGCTTGTTGTTGTTCTCCAGTGAATATTTCTCAGGCTGTTTATTTCTGCAAGTCAATTTCTGTAGACACAAAGCAAAAAAGTTATTGGTTTTTCCGCCATTATTGCCCATGGAAAAAAGTTTCAGTTCATTGAACACACACTGAACGAACAGAAAGGCCAAATATGGTGATATTGAAATGGTGATATTGAAACAAGCATTTGTGCAACTGGAATTTGATTTGAAATCTTACTAAGATTTGTACAGTTTTGACAACTATAACCCCGGCCTCCCCCTGTTAACTCCAATGCTTAAAGATTGCAATAAGTTGTGCTAATGCAGCAGTAAATTTTATTTATGAATGTTTATGAATGCAGATGTCTTTATGGGCAATAGGAGTTTTTGCATTGTTGTTTTTTTACACAGTTTTAAAACTTAAATTCATGCTGTTTTCTCTGTCTATAAAAGTTATTTTCTATATAAGTGGTTCATAAATGGAACAAAAAAAAATATGCAGAAAGTGTTTCTGAAGTGGATATTTTAAGATACAGACAGAAAGACTGATTAAAATGAAATAAAAATGATTCTAAGATGAAACAAAAAAGTTTTCATCTACACAAAGCAGCTGCAGTTTTACAAACATTCTGGAGCTTCTCTGTCTTTTCTGTCTAGAGGAATTCAAAAAGAAGGATAAAGTCAGTGAGTCTTGGCTTTCTGAGACTGAAATCTCCAGAGACAGTCGCCGTAGGTCACGGAGACGAGCACAGACGCGACGTCTTAAGAGTTTTAGGAATGATTCTAAGATGAAACAAAAAAGTTTTTATCTACACAAAGCAGCTGCAGTTTTACAAACATTCTGGAGCTTCTCTGTCTAGAAGAGGTAAAGAAGGATAAAGTCAGTGAGTCTTGGCTTTCTGAGACTGAAATCTCCAGAGACAGTCGCCGTAGGTCACGGAGACGAGCACAGACGCGACGTCTTAAGAGTTTTAGGAGTTTTAAATCATTGACCTCACTTCCTTTTTCTCGTTGCGCCGCCGAGGCCGCCCAGTGATCTTTCATATTTAAGCGTCTCTAAGACCGAGATAGATGATAACATTTTCTTTGCTGTGAGAATGAAAGGATGTCTGGTTAACAGTAATTAAATGTAAAAGCCTGTCGTCATGGCGCTGACACACGCTGGCGAGGTGCATTAGCGTTGGAGCGCTATCTGGCAGCGCGCCGCGTCTCTCAAGTTCACAGCTGCTGCGCGCAGGATCGCCGCTTTTCCCCTTCCACCCGCTCCTTCTTTCCACCCTTCAAGAAAAAAAACGCAGATCAACTCCCGTTCCCATTCCTAGGAGGTTTCTTCACTCCTTTTCCTTCTCCAGTTGTGTCATTCTGAACTGGATGAGTGTGAAGTGCAAATCCAACCTGACTTGCTTTCCAAACCTCCAAAGTAGCATCTTTCATAAGAAGCGGTGTTATTGCTTATTGGAAATCCATTTTAAAGGGGTCATATGATGCTATTTTAAAGATCATTATTTTGTGTATTTGGTGTAGCAGAATATGTTGACATGCTTTAATGTTCAAAAAACACATTATTTTTCAAATACTGTACATTATTGTAGGTCCTCTATGCCCCGCCTCTCTCAAAAAAGCCCCCTCCTTTGACAAGCGCAGTCTGCTCTGATTGGCCAGCTGACCCAGTGCATTGTGATTGGCCGAACACCACGAGCACGCGTCGGAAATGTAACGCTCCTTACCATAATCGCGAGCTTCAGCATTCAAAGTAACTATCAAGACAGTTAATAATGTTGTTAGTTTTACCATCAGTTCAATCCCGAAAGGGCAACAGAGTCGAGTGACAGACACAGTGATGATGCAGTGCAACTTTACAGATCTTCTTTATGCACCAAGAGCTTGTAACACTCCAAAGAGAAAGGAAAATTTTAAATAGCATCATATGACCCCTTTAATCTGTAAGTGTCTGGTGCTGACGTGCGCGATGCAGTGAGCAGTTCACAGTGAATGAGTTGTTTACAGTAAACCTCCAGACTGCTGCACTTTCTCTTTTGTTTCTGCTCTTGCGGTGATTCACTGATTCGCTCGTGTTTAATAGGAACCATAATTGACTCAGGAGTGATGTAATTCTGCTTAAGTAGCTTCATCTGTGAGAAGAGCTGCAGTGTAACAACAAAAACAGACTTGTTCAAGTCTTCCTCAGCTGCAGTGATGTTTCTTGCTCAGTCATTTCTGGGGCCTGTTTCATAAAACACGTTTACCAAATAAGATTTTTAAGGTTTATTTCAGTTAGTCTGACGTATTGTCAGTTGATTTGGTTCAAAATAAGTCAGACTAACTGAAATAAGCCTGGCTTATTTGGTAAGCTTGTTTTATGAAACAGGTCCCTGGTCTGTGTAGTGGCCTTCATGGTTTGTAGTGGTCTTCACTGGCTTTTGATAGTCTGCATTGACCTTTCTTTTTAAGTTTATTTATTTATTTATATGTCTAGCACAATTAAAGTTATTTTAATTTAGTATTTTGTTGATCTAAGATGTATTTTATCCCTGAATATTAATTATTTTAATAATCAATTAGTTAGAGAAATATAATGTAATATAATTACATTATAATATATATGACTTTATATTAATTAAAAAATAAATGTAAAATAAATGAAAAGGAGTGGCTTTTTTTAGCAGTTTGCAGTGGTCTTTGACCTGTGTTGGTTTATATTAGTTTTTTACTCGTCTGTTCTGGTCTTCAGAGGTCTTCATTGGTTTGTAGTGATCTTTAATATATATATACAGTATATGTCAGACTTATGAACTGTTTTGTTGTGTTTTGATCCCCCATGTGTTCTGTGTGACCTAGTTTCTGTCTTCGTTTGATTATTGTCATTAGTTTCAGGTGTGTGTCATTTATTACCCTCATAAGCCCTCCTATATTAGTTGTGTTCTGCTCTCTGTTTGTCGTCCGATCTACTACATCCCTACATGTGTCTCCTGCCTGTTCTGTCTTGGATTTGCCCTTGTGTGACTATTTTAAAGACTATTTGCATTGTTCATCATTTTCTTTGTGCGTTTCAATCATCGTAGCGTGACTCTCTCTCTCTCTCTCTCTCTCTCTCTATATATATATATATATATATATACATATATATTAGTGCTGGGCAACGATTAATCGCATCCAAAATAAAAGTTTTTGTGTACATAATATATGTGTGTACTGTGTATATTTATTATGTATATTTAAAGACAGGGCATACGGTATATATTTAGAAAATATTTACATGTATATATTTATATTCATATAATTTATCATATATAAATATATTTAATATATAAGCATAACATATTTTTCTTAAATATATACATGCATGTGTGTCTATTTATATATACATAATAAATATACACAGTACACACACATATATTATGTTCACAAAAACTTTTATTTTGGATGCGATTAATCGAGATTAATCGTTTCCCAGCACTAATATATATATATATATATATT